TCATCTTTCTTTGTACACGCAGCTCAGCTCCACTTCCACTGGTTAATAATTTCATTTCAAAAGCTGGGGCCATGTTCTTTTCTCTGGCTTAACCCAAAACTGTGATGGGAATGGAAGGCCTCAGAAAAATGGAAGAAAACCATTCTCTATTTGTTCTGCATTTGTTCTGCTCACATTAATACCAAGCTGAACACAATGGATCATTATGTTAAACAGTGTTTGCAGCTATAAAACTCCAGCTATTGCCATATATCTTTGTAGAGATATATTTTTGTGGCTCTGAGAATTTATGCATGGACTTCACTTTTATGCTTTAATTTATTTGTTTTTCTTTTTCCTTTTAAGTTTTCATCTAATTCTAAAATAAGAAAAAAAAAACCCCAAAAATTATCTATCTGTCCCGCATCAGATTTTGTTTCCATTCAACAAGAATTAATAAAGTCCAAATCCTTTCTAGCTATTGGGCCTTCCATTCAATATGCTTAATCTGCTTCCTCAGAAAAAAAGAAAGTGACGATGGTAGGTGATATTGTAAAATTACTGTAAAGCCAGCAACATGTCTAGGTTCCAATATAAAAATAAAAATAAAAATAAAAATAAAAATAAAAATAAAAATAAAAATAAAAATAAAAATAAAAATAAAAAGCGTTTCTGGGAAATGTCATGTTGTTATCACTTCCCTGGAGACATCCATTCATCTGATGTTGGCTCCAATTATTTACTTTTTTTCGTATTATTGGGATTTGATTTTTGTCTCATATGTTTTTCTTGTAAGGGTCCCAGATTATGCAGTGAAGGAAATATTTTTGTAATCTGTAGAATTCTGATTATTTTTTGGCCTGGTTTARTATCTCTTGTTTACCCATTAGGCAAGTGACAGGTGCATGAAAACAATTAAAACAATTCATTATTGCTGTTTTTACAAGACTATGAAAACTGCAAATATTCCTGTCACTTTACTGTTTCCTAACAACTTTTATATTCCTCTTTTGTACCTGTCAAGAAGTTCTTAACTATAGTGATGATAARCAGAACATTTGAAAAACTGAAGTTTTGTCTCAAAGTTACCCTCCCATTTACCAGGCTGTCTTTTCAGGGTTCTGCAGGGCTTTTCCCTTGGTCTGGCACAGAAGGGCCTGGATATTGCTGCAGCTGTACCTCCAGGTATTTCTCCAATACTGCAGACTTTTTTGTATTACTGCGAGCCCCTCTAGACATGGATCATTCTAAAAACATATGCTTTCTTTCAAAGAGTGTAATGGGATAAAAAAAAAAGTGAATGTGTGTTTTACTGCCTTTATCTGCCCTTAAAATCTGTAAATACAGTTAAATAGGCTACCTTTAAAATAATTCTTGGAACACAGCAGAGGAGGATTACAAATTAAATCAAAGTATCAGATTTGTTTTTTGGTTGGTTGGTTGGTTGGTTGGGTTTTTTAAGGCTTTCAAATTACATTTGGCTCTTGATGAAACAGTTAAATAGAGTGTCTTCAGAATTAATATTCCCTTTCTTTTTTTTTCAAAGGAAATTAGCCATTAATCCTGGTGAATGTCTTGTGYAAATACTTGAAGATTGACAGAATTTTTTAGGAGTCAAATGAGTTTTTATCCTCTATTAACTTTACAGATTGCTGTAATGAAAATTATTCTTTCCACTGTCTCCTTTTCTATATATGGCTTCGATCCAGCAGATTGCTTGATTTACATGTTTAAAATTATGTATCACCCCAAGACTATATCTGTTTTGGAAAGACTGGCCTTTTATCAGGCTTAGCAGCTGACTCCAAAAGAGTTTCAGGCCCAGGTTACCTACCTGAAAAAGTAGTACATCTGTCAGGGATGTGGCAGATTTGGGTGAAAAACTCTGCAAATTTTCCACCTGCAGCTACCAAAATCAAGGATTGGACCCAGAAATTTTCTATCCAACATGCCATTCTTTTTATTTTGGTGGGGATGGATACACTTGTTTTCTTTTGGAAGGCAAGGAGTATCTGACAAGGAAAGCCCTGGTTATTCACTATAAGAAGTTGTAATCATGAGACCAATGTGGCTRTCCCTCTCAAGTAAATAGCCATAAAAAAATTATTTTTGTGGGATCAGGTGAGCTCTGCTGTCACTGATGCATATCATTGCAGCTAAATGTTAAATAATTACAATAACAGGCTAAAGACTTTTCAGGGGCTTTTTGCATTRTAAATGATAATCATGAAATAAAGAAGAAAAACAATTCAATTCCCRAGACTGACATAGCTAAGTTAAGAAAAAAAGTGTTGGATTCTGGGAAGGTGGCATACAGTGAATTCCTCAGTGCTGTGGTTGATTACAAGACCATCCACTGAACACTCTCCCAGCAGGGTCTGTACTGCATGTGCTGAAGGACTCGCCTGTCCTGGAAGGTGCTGCAGGGGCAGCCTGCCYTGCAAACACTCCCTGCAAACAGCCTCTGCACAGACCCTTGGCTTTTCGGTGCCAGGAGGTGGGTGCTGTGACTCCAGAAATCAGGGGACATGGATGAGGTTTGGRTACTATGTTCAGCCTAGTTGTGGGCATAGCCTTTCCCACAGCTTGCTGAAATTGGTGGTGAATCCCAATGAGATCTTTCATTGTTTTCAGTGGGTTTTGGCTGAAGTCCAGAGTGAGTAGTCTGTTATTTATTGTCTGGTTGGAAAAGAGTATCTAACAACACATAGATGGTACAAACAAAAGGAAAGAGAGAAAAAGACAGCAATGAAAAGCATAGAGTATCTGGTGTGGAGGCACTAAAATCAGCAGGGAGCTCTGGACACATTACTCTTGTTTCTTTTTTTTTTTTTTTTTTTTTTTTTTTTGAACATCTACATCATGCATTTTTTGCAGTCTAGCAGTCATTATATTGAAAAGATTTGCTCACTTTTCAAACTGATTGTATTATTTGCCTAATCATCCTGCCTCATCTGTTTGGACACCAAATACTATAAATTAAAAGAGTCTAAGCTGTGGGTTAGTACAGGGATCTCAGTGTTTGGCTTTCCAAATTCTTTGGGCCACAGGTGTGCCTGAGAGCAGCACTCAGAGCTGGAGCCAGCAGAAATTCACAGTAAGAAAAACATTCCTCTAATGACGCATTGGAATTGAAAACCAGATATCCATTCGTTCAAACTGGAAAGYTCTTTTAAACTGAGATAAAAGATAACAAACTGCTACAGAGGGCAGACAGAACCATTACACTGAGTACACTGCTTATTAAACACATTTGGTACTGTGTTTGTCAAACATTGATCAAACTGCAATACTATGGGATTAGAAATCATGGAATGCTTCTAAGTACAGTCCTGTTTCATTTCTTCTGCTTATATTTCCTAAGCAAGCTGTACATGCAGAGCTGGGTACTGATTGCAAAATTATATCTTAAAATCAATCTATATGACCAGAATTGTACCATTTTCTTGTTAAAGCCAAACAAATGGAACAAAAAAAAAAAGCCACTTCTGCAAGATATAAAATTCCTCACAAGTGTGGCTGGGGTTTGTAGATTTTGGTAGAGATTTTTATTGTTTATTTGTTTTGATTGGTTATTTTGGGGCTGGTTGGGGGGTTGTTTCTTTTTGGTGGGGTTTTGAGAGGGTTTTTTTGTTTCTTTTTGGTGGCATTTTGAGGGATTTTTTTTGTGGAAACAAATCTTTATTTATTGAAAAATAAAGTGTGTGATGTTCAGATAAAATAAAAGTGCAGCTGTATTAGTTTAGATAAATGGAGCATACAGTTAATCAATTCGGATTTGGTGGTGCAGGAAACTGTGCAGACATTATGCCTGCTAATATAGAATAAAGTAATGCATAAAGAAAGGAACCACACGGCCTGGGACAAAATACACCTTGCTCCCACAAAGACCTGTGAAAGTGCTAATTCATTCATTCATTTGTCTGTTCTCCCTGCTATAGGCTGCATTTCTAACCTGCTCTGCTGTGTCCTCCACCTCTTGCCCTTCCTGCTCCAAGAACGAATCATGTAACAAAGTGAGTTCACTGACTAGAGTAAAATAACTCACTTTGCATATTTTTTTCTGCATTCTAAAAGGCTACTAAAAATGTCTGTAGTGTCTCGTTGATCCCTTAAGGCAAACTTTTCAATTTGCTCTCCTATCAGCAAATTTTCACACAATATGAGCACCACTTTAGAGTGCTTCTCTCTTCCTATTCAAATGTTGTTGTTGTACTTCAAAAGTACAAATATCAGTTTCTTGTACCACTTGGGCATTCATTTTGCTACCTTGGTTTTCACAAGACCTTTATAAGTCTCTGAGCTCTTTTAGTAGGAGGAGACAAATTCTGGAATGCTGTAGATCCTAAACAACATCACACTTAATTCTGATTTATTATCTTTTTGGTAAATTCCAAAAAGCAACATATTGTCCTGTTGGATAAGTGGATACACAAGTGGTCTGAAGTCAGAAGGATATATAGATGTATACCTCTTAGCGAAACATCTTAAAACACATTGAATTAACCAACTTGGTTCAACTTTTAATTTTCCTTAAATTAGTTTTCACTCCATTATTAAAAAAAAAAAAAAAAAAAATAGATGACAATAACTTGTCCTGGTGCTTATAAAACTAGGCTTTTTGCTTCAGGCACATTTAGGACTTTTAAACAGGGTTGTAATGGCTTGTGTCTTCAAAGACCATCATAAATCTTTGTCACAGAGAGGGAGAGACATAAGAGACATTGGAAATAGTATTTTTGCTCTCTCCTTTACAGAATTGGTATAATTTTCTGAAAAGCTATCCCCGGATAATTAATTTGTCAGGGTGAGGGTTTTATTGTTTTTTAATATATTGGTTTATTCTGAAAAGAGACAGAGGAAAGGCATCTGGAGTCCTTGTTTGTTGGCTGACAGTGCTGGTTGCAGCAGCACAGCTCTGTACAGACAAGGAGTTGCAGAGAAATTCCGAATGGCTTTTTTGATCCTCATTTTTTATGTCGTTCCAGTTTTGGCTGCCCTTCTGATTGCCCGCGAGAAAGATGGCCACAACATCACCACACTTTTTAAGACCATCTCATTTTGTTTATAGAACTCCTCAATCAGAAGGTCACTGTAGGTGTCTGCTCCAGCTGTTGCTCTGTTCTTTCCCACTCGCTGCATTTACACTCACAATRTCCTTTTATTTATAGTTTCGCCATTCGCCCAGCCTGGGACCATGACGGGGTCATTTGCCACTAGAGTTGCTTTAATAGGTTGAAGGTTCAAAGGATGTTTTGTCCCTTTCATACACTGAACTGCAGCTTAGAAAGAGGGCAAGAAAAAGGGCACTCCTTCCTCCTTTTTTCTGTCATGGAGACAGATGTCCTCTAAAAATGCACAGCAGCCCACATTTCAGATCTGAGTGCTTGCTGTTTCCTCAAACTGCATTTCTTGAGCAGCGTAATGGTCAGGACTTGCAGCTTGCACCGAGGTTTGAGGGTCAAAGAGGGACAGCTGGAAGGGAACAACATTATCTCATCTTCCAGCAGAGCCTCTGACTTGTTGCAAGCTGGACCAAAGGCARCTTTCTTTATTCTTGCTCTCCTGCAGGACCTGGCACAAAGCCTGTTCTTACTGAATGAGCACCGAGGGATGAGACAGAATTTCTGGGTAGAAATTCAGCAATTCCCTGATTCCCATTCAAGGCAATGCTCCCTGTCCCTTGTATGATAAAATCAGGCTGCAAACCAGGAGAGACATTTTCCTGTAAGCCATGTGCATTTTCTGCCATGTGCACGCATCTGAATTCCGGCCATTTGCAGAGAGCCTGCAATCTGATATTCTATTGACATTTCCAAGCTTTGCCTGTCACTTTTTTGGCAAACTTCATCTGGATTTCAGGTTGCCCATAAAACTTGAAAGCAGGTTTAGTAGCAAAAATTTACAATGTGAACATCTAGTTAGAGGAGAGCTTTCTGGGCCCCTTTAAAGGAGAGCCTTGCCTTTAAAAATGAGTAAATAAGAGTTTCTACTTCTTTTCCTCGTGAAACTTCATTGAAAATATGAACAGCAATAAATCAGCTGCTGAGAAAAATGTCAAAGTACAGCTGGGCTCCACTCCTGCATAGCAATGACAGTGGAAAAATCACCCACATTTCCCTTTCCCTTCTAATTGACCTTGTAAAATTTAAGCTGTAGCCTCCCTAAAATGCCTTTTAGTGCTGCAAAATCYTGAGGAAGTCTGTGGGAGTGCAAATGTCAAAACAGGCAAGGAATTGTTTGAAAATAATGCAGAAAATGCTGCAACACATCCAACCTTGTTTGTCCTTCCTCCTGTGTAAAAATATAAATTCCACTTTTAAAATGCTCACCTTATCCATCAAAATTATTTTAAACTTTCCTGTAAAGCTGTGTTTATGTAGAGGATCTGGCACCCACATTCATTTGTGTAACATATGCTGACAGTGCTCATCTATAAATATTATGATAGCCAGGAATAAGTCCTGTGTGTCATATTTCTGAATTTGTTTTGTTTTASCTTACTGAAGGACCAAATGTTGTTTAGATTTTATAAGAAAAAATCCATTGATTTCAGGGCAAAAATTCATGCTCTGTTTGCCAGGCCATTTTCCTGAAAAGCAACTGGGTAGAGTGAGAGCATTATGCTTGATGCTTGTCCTGTATTATTTCTTAGAGTAAGAAAGTTGAAACAATTGCTTGCTGTACAGTGGGCATTACCAAATAAGACATCTGGCTGTTTCCCTTGTTACTTTTTACAGCTCTCCCTCTTTCTGGGTAGATGCAAACAGGTTTKCTTGGCTGGTTTGTCTTTGGTTTGGGTTTTTTTTTTTTTAGTTACAGATCTGGCCACAGTTCAAAAGGTGAAGGTTATACAAGCTGATTTCACTAAAAATTCAGTGCATGAGAACATTGAAAAAGATCWGAAAGACTTAGATATTGGTGTTCTGGGTCAGTCATTAAGGTCTGTTAATTGAAGAGCATTTTATGGCTGAAGTGTATTAGACAGACCATTGTATAAATGAAGTGCCATAACAACTTATTAGCCAATGCTTAAACCCGAGCATAAATAATGAGCCTGTGGCTCATTATCTGGTATGTTTCATGGAGCAACAGTAAAAGAATGGGGTTTTGGAAGGTTTTTTTAATTTTTAAAGAAAATCTTCCTTTTAATAATGAAACAGATAAAACAACAATAAAACACAAATAACTTCAGCAACAGTCTGTTTTCCCAGCACTGATCTGTAGTGGTGAGTTCAGTGAGAACAAGAATTGATGCTTAATAGTGTTTCTCTTCACGCAGAACTCAAAATCTTCTGGGTCTTGAGGAGAAGCAATTTTTTAACTAGATTATCTRTGTACTTTGTCTAGATTTGGTTCTTAACACTGTATTTTCCCTGACTAGTTAACAATGTTGGGATTCTTCATAATACTCTTCCATGCCATTTCCTTAATGGGCCAGACATAGAAGAGGCAGGATTATTCTRTGGATTTCAACTTCTAATGTAACAACGAGGAATTATAATTCATTGAACAAGGCACAGATTCTGCCCCTCCCACAATCGAATATTAACTGTTCAGTTAAGCTGGAAATTAAYTAGGCCTGAAGAAGGATATTTTGATTTGGTTTTAATGCTTGGAAGATCTTGAAAGAGAAAAAGAATGGTAGATCTCAGCTAAACTGCAGGAAGCACTCAATGATAGAGGGGAGAGTGCAGCTGGTCTGGTTGTAGCAGGGATTAGCACACCCCTGACTCTCTGCTGGTTTGTTGTGTAATGGGGTCCTGTCTATTCACAGCCACAGCTGAAAATGTTGGGTTATTGTTAGTGTTATTAAAACTTGCTTTCTTTGCAACACCATCGTTTAAATACGTAGAAATAAACAAACAAAACCCACAAATTAAATTAAAAAAAAAGAAATAGAAAAGATAAAGAAAAAAGAAACATCATTTAAACACAGCGTACTTTGTGGGGAGAATTAATTTGCACATGTTGAATAAGGTGTCACAGGATTAAGGATGTGATCAGGTTCTCCATTGCCTTATTGTTATTTGCCCCTATAGCCCTTGCAATGAAAAAGACAGAATTTCCAAACGTGTATCTTGCTAGCACCTCTTACAGGATTAATTCAGCTTTTTTATCATCATCTTCTCCAAATCAGAGAACCTCAGGCAGGCTGCTTCCCTCAAACTCTGCCTTAAGCATGAATTTACTCTTYTGTTGATTCCTGCAAGACCTTGACAACTACAACACTATTTCTGTTACAAAGGTATGTGACACATTCTCATCTGTACCAGGTCTGTAATGTATTTCATTGGAAAAAAAAAATCAATCCAGCATTAGAGTGACCAGCTAGTTTTTATGTGTATTTTCATTTAACTCATCAGCAGATAGTGATTTTCAGCAGGAAAGTCAGTGTTAATTKAAGGAGCCCACCTGTTTCTATTGCCTGTGAAATATTTTGACCAGAGCTGACTGTAAACTTTTTAACACAATTGCTCAGTAGACACAGGTTCTTGCACCGCAACAGAAAATCCTGAAACATTTTGCAAATCGTTTTGGTATGCAGGGAGATTCACTTTAGAATTAAAGTCTTCAGACAGGTAAATCTGCAGTTTGACTTTTAACAATGTATTGGTATTTTTTGTCACAATTCTGTTCCACCTAAATGTTTTTGTATCAATTCAGAGCAGAAACTCTAGGAAGTACCTCCCAATTCCGTATTAGTACCCCTTGGTGCTAATTTTAAATGGCCACTTCCATTCCAAGAACATTTAGTATTTCATGCTTTTCAACTCAGATTAAGATTTGTATTGCTCTGCGGTTTGCAAGCAGCATGTTAACATGAACATGAGCAGAAGATCTCAACCTTGGCTTTCATGCCTTTCATGTCTTTCTRAAAATGACATGAAAACTAACAACAGATGTTTGTCTTTCTCTGGCTAGCAAAATTTACATCCCAAATTTGTACTGCTGCGTAATAACTTAAGATAATAAATCATGTAATATCAATCAATTGAAGCAAATTCTGTGAGTAGCTTGGTGAGATTTCTGCTCCTAGGATTTATTCTATTTGTGTGTCAAAAGAACAGAAATATTTTCAATATCTGAATGCTGTATATCTATCTGTCTGTCTATCTATCTATCTATCTATCTATCTATCTATCTATCTATCTATCTATCTATCTATCATCTATCTATCTATCCATATATATATCTATATTATATATAGATATATATATATATATGTATGTGTGTGTGTATGCCATTTTGTACCCTCTGAGTCTGGCTACAAAAGGTTTTTCCCTTTATCATTTCCCACTTTACACACAGCTCAGAATCAACCTCTTCTGCTTTTCCAGTGCCTGGGTATTCCTTTCCCCACTGCTGCTACCACATCACTTTCAGTCTTTCATGAATATTCACTTTCCTTCAAATTACAAAGGAGAAGGTATTCTCCTAACCAAGATTCCTCAAGGTTAGGTCAAAATAATTTCTTATTCTTTTCTTACGTCTTTAAATCTTTTTGGATTTTCCTTTCCCCTCCCTATTTGGATTCCTGCTAAGACCCTGTTCACCATTTCTTGCAGTGTAATGCCTGAAGTCCAGGTATCCTGGCTCCAGAGATGTCAGTGGGATTTTCAGTACTGCAAAAGAAKCCCTTCTCACATGTTTTATACTTTAATTGGAAATTCCTCTTCACCCAAGCTGATGGGACTGACCGGTGTTGTCGTGGTTTGTGAAACCTGTACTGCTCCTATTGTCCTCTTGTGCACAATGAAAAAATATCAGGAAACAACAAGTATTCAATTAGTGCACCATTGATTTGCACTACTTTTCATTACTGCTCTTTACAACTTATGTCACAATCCTGTCCTGAGAAGATTCATAGTGTGACTTCTCCTTGGGTTTTAGGCTCTATCACAAATTATACCCTTCAACTGTACGAAGAAAAGCAGATTTCTTGCTAAAAAAAAAAAGGATTAATTTTAACTTTAAAAATCAGATGCATGATTAAGCCTTTTGCTAACATAAGAATGAAAAGAATTAAATAATTAACTCAAAAATGATCTCAAAACTATTTCTGATAGCAGAAAAAGATGATGTCTATTCATGATTTTCTGTGGTTTCTGATCTAGGTACAGGGAAAAGTGAAAATGCAAGACAAACATAGGGTTGACTTTCTCCTTGCAGTTATAATKCCATATTAAAGAATGATGAAATTCAGAAACTGCTGAAAAGCTTTGCATAAACAAAAGAATGTCACTCTTTTGAAGGCTAACCTTTGGAAATTTTTGACAATTCAGATAATTTTCAGGCCACTGGCATTTCTAAAATATTTTCTACAATGTCAAAGGTGCTATATTTTAAATATTTGAGCTGTACACATATGGCTTGATCAAGTGTAAAATCTTGAGATTAAAATAAAATCAGATGAAAAACRCTATCAGGAAGATGGGGAATGGATAAAATTCTTAAAATATTTGTCTTATAGATGACAAAAATAATTTTGAAGCAGATGCAACCAGGGTATTTTTTCTATAATTCTGAATAGCTTTTGGTTTCTACCTCCAGTATCTTTAAAGGTAGTTATGCTTTTTCATTATTAATTTCTGGACTTGAAAGTCTGTCAATCAGTAAGATTTCTTCTCCTGATRTTTGTGCTATGTGAGTATATGTATAGGGACTCTCACAAATTGTCCATCAATTGAAGAGCGAGGCAGAAAACAAGAAATAGAGATCTGTGTCCAGTTAAAAACCCATGGCAGAAATAAAATGGGAAGTGATGGCCCCAATCTGGCAAGAAACAGCATTTTAATGTATTATCCTATTCTTCTAAGAGTGGTAGCTGAGCTTGAAAAAATGCTTTTTAAGCTCTGGAAATAACCATATTATTAATCAGAGACATTACTTCACCTATGCAGTTAAGGATCTCTTCTGTTTTTAATGCTATGTTTGTATTAGACATTGGGTCCTTAAACTAGAAGTTAGGATCTTCAAATGGATTTTCTAGAAAACATTGTTAAATATTGCATTTTAGARGCTGGTTTTTATTTTGGCAACAAAATTACCTCTTACTGTTTAATTTTTGCTTTGTTTTTTTTCTGCTTGTTGCTAAATGAGTTGGGTTTTAGYGATGTGTGCAGGGAGCTGTGAATGGGGAAGCTAAAACAACAGATCCATGGAGCAGGAATAAGAATGTGCTGGCCAATGAGCAAAGGGGATCTACCAATTCCTTTGTAGTTTAAAAACTTTTTCTGAGGGCTGATTTTTTTCTCTGTTAGATGTACTGCACGTACAATGTACATCAGAGAAAAGTTCCCATGGCTTTGATTGCACAAGGCATTTAAATTTYACTTATGACATTATTCTTAGCTGGTTTAGACCACACTAAACTCTAAAAAGGGCGTCTTTTGAAAGTGTGGTCGACTGTATAATAGAAGAGCTGTGCCTTCTGGGGGAAAAAAATGCTGTTTTCCGCTCATGCAACCTTTTACTATAATCCTGTAAAGAGCAAACCCAATGTAACTTTAAATTAAATTTCAAATAGAAAGGTCTAAGTCTGAATSTGTTCTCTGGCCTGAGTACTTTCCCTTGTCCCTTTTACACAATTTTACCTCAGCTACTGAGGTAAATGTTTTGGATTGYTTTATGGACAAACCCCCATCAGTGTTTAACAAAGCATTGTGTCGTATAATGAGTGATCAGTAAATAAAGATGTTGTTTCACTGAAATAATGAAGTAATGTAAATCAGCACTAGCTGAGAACTAAGAATTAATGAAACAACATAAATTATATCCATCTCAAGATATGCCTGATCCSGGGAGTATTTTTGCCTTTGATTTAATAGTATTACACCAGTGCTCACTCTCTGTCCCCATCTTGGTGAGTGATGAATTTTGCTAGGCTCACTTAGCTGGTTTACTTAAAGCTGTACATGCCCAAAAGTGCTAGATTTTGCTTATGAAGCCAAGAACAAAATTTCTGTTAGGTGGATTGTATGTTGCCTGACTTCATAGATTTCATCTTAAATTTGCTCTGAATTTGAATACTGGAACTTACAAAAATGAGGAATGAATGATGCTGAGTGAAACTCCAGAAGCATCTTGCTCATCTCAGGTTAGTTTCAAAAGAAAAATTCCAAAAATATTTGCTTGAATATAGCTAAAGTTTAGATTGGATTTAAAAAAAAAATTTAAAAAGCTCTTCTTGGTAAGAAAGTCTAGCTTTTTATTTCCTTTTTCTCTTTTTAATATAAATTCCTCATTGCTCAAAATTTGAATTACATTCAAACCAGACAGTTTTAGGTCCTTAAAAGTGTTTGCTTAACACTATTTCAAGGTGATATGGTACATTGGTAATATTGCCTTTTTTCACTCTCAGGTATCTTTTCAATTCAGAGTTTCTTTTGTTTTGTTTCAGTTTTTGTTTTGGTCAGTTTGTTTGTAGCTGTAATTTTTTTGTTTTTATACCCTGGAAGGAAACTATTTTACTTTTCAGCATTTTATCATGCAGTATCATGACAGTGTTGGTGTTACAATTATAAGACTGTCCAATGATGGTTTTGAAACAAAGTCATTTTTTTCTCCTTACTGGGATTTTTGTATATTTCAGTTACCAAGGAGTAATTTAACATTGTAAGGTTTCTGACTATTTCTCATAAATCTAACTCCTAAAATCAATCTTAGTCTAGGTTTTTATGCACTTTCATAACCACTACGAGCAGAGTACAAGGCAAAGTCAATTTTCATAYAGATGTTGCTGTATATTGCCATTTTAGCCTTCAATTTTGCAAATTCTTCAAGAACATTTGAGATGTCTAAACTGTGTCATGTAGCCTTCCTCAGTGAACTACTGGGTGACCCTGTCAAAGTTTTGTCTCCTCCCTCTATGCAGCCTATTTCCTTATTCCACCATAATACTATCACTTATTTCACAAAGTACCCTAATCCATTGCAAATATCTGTTAAAATGTGTCAGATGCTGTAGGATTCTGCAGAGCACCTTATGCAAGTATTAGATGGCATTACACTGTTGTTGTTATTATTATTATTTATTATTTTAGGTAGTGATTCCTTCTGGTGATTCTACTCCAGTGGCAATGCACCAAAACCTTGGTCTTATTATAAAAATAGTGGAAGAGTTTGTTAGTGAATCACTGGAGCATGTCACCTTTGGAGACAAGATTTTTGGATGCTTAGCCCATGAAATTCTGGTAATTGGACCTGGTTGTGTGTGAATGGGTTCCAGAGACTTCAGCCAATCTGTCTGGGCTAAGCCTGTTCTTTTCATGGTTCCATAGACCTTGGACATGAAATGAGGAAGAGAATGGGTTTTTAAAGCTAATATGGCACCAGTAAGATATGAAGAGAGGAATACACAAGGGAAGTTAGTGGTAACAGTGCAGTATGGTTTTCTCTGCTTGTGAGCCTTGAGCTGAGCCCAGTTTCATGTCTGGTTAGTCTTCATCCTTTCTCCAGCTGCCTGTTTTCATGACTTTGTTATGGAATTTTCCAAGATCTATGCTCCTCCACAAAAACTGGCCAGCAAATTCAAAAGTTATTYGTGGGGGAGAGGAAGGGCATAAAACCAGACCATACTATCACAGAAACATCATTTCCTTGGATACCATGCTAACAAAATGGAACAAATATTTATACATGGCAGCTGTTGAGGATGAGCATTAAATGCAAGTATAAGGAAGGGAACAGATTTGCTGAAAACAGAGGAATTAACATTTTCCTCTAGAAGAAATGTAGTTAGCCTGAGCTTCTGAAAGCCTGAAGTAAAAGCTTTTGCATTTAAGGCTATTTCTAAGGCTATTTCTCTAAGGCCTTTCTGAACATGCAGTTAATCCCCTTCAGGAGTTTTCTTTAACCCTTCACCTTTGAATTATTTTTGCTTGGTTTTTCTGAAGGCCTGTGTCCTGCAGTTTTCCCCTCCATGGACATTCCACATGGAGTTTCTGGTTACCTGAGGCAGAGGTGGAGAAACCCCTGACAGAGGCATTCTTTTCAGAAGATGTGCCACGGGAAACTCCAGCAAGATGCACTTTACAGAGTCTCTATATGTATKATTTAAATGAGTTTGAGCCATAGCTCCTTTTGAGCAACCTATGAAGTGATGTGACTCGATCCGATGTATCTTTTAAACAAATTAATTTCCGTCCCTTTCTAAAGAGCATAGCATTTGCTAGAGCAACTCCAGTGACTTCTGTGGGCTTTATATAGGATCTAAGAAATTGACATTAACATTTTAAGATAATCTTGGAGGTCACAAATAATTATGTTTATTTGGTGTTTATGAAAAAGCCARTAATTTGGTTTATTTCCAACTTGTTCACAGCGTATTTTCATRCTTTCAGTGAGTGCTTTGTGCCTTTGGCTTCTATGGAAAAGTCAAGGAAATTTGCTAGAAGAAAAAAGAAATCTGTCTGAATGTAAGGTACGCACTGGACTTTGGGAAATCTGTAATGATAAAAAAAATGTATTTTTTTTCCAGAGCCTGTGAATGGCTCTGCAATATCTGATATGGGAGRGAGCAACATAGGAAAAGGGTACACAGTAGTGTACCAGAGGAACCCAGGAGACAAGTGTTTTGACTGAATGCCCGTGTAATCAAATCGGATGCTATTAAAAGTTGTTTCATGGACAATGCAGTCACCAGGCACAGCCATTGTGAGTTCAAAAAGGGAAAGTCCTGCCTGATTCATTTGATGACCTTCTACAGTAAGATTACTTGCYTAGTGAGTAAGGGAAGGTGGAAGCTGTGGCTTTTCTTGATTTTAGTAAGGCTTTAGCAAGGTTTTTGATACTGTCCCTCATAGTATCCTTCTGGATGGGGTGTCCAGCTGTGAGATGCACAGTTACAGTGTGCTGGATGAAGAACTGGCTRAATGTCAGAACTTCAGGGGCTGTAGTGAATGGGGCTGTATCTGCCTGGTGAGCAGTCACCAGCAGAGCTCCTTGGGGCTTRATTGTAGAACCAGTTCTGTTCAACAAGTTTATCCATGATCTGGATGCAGGAGTTGGATGCACCATTAACAAGTACGCTGACGATGCCAAACTGAGAGGTGCTGCTGACTCTTGACCAACAAGAGCCTGGTGGAGGGGTCTGGGTACRTTTGAGTGCTGGGTAATTATCAGTAGCATGAAGTTTAACAAGAACAAAATCAGATTCTGCCCTGGGGTGCAGCAAAGCTGGGCACAAGTATCAGCTGGGAGAGGAGTGTGTGGAAAGCAGCCCTGCAGAAAGGGATCTGGGGGTGCTGGGGGCAGCAGCTCAGTGTGGGTCAGCGCTGTGTGCCCGGGCAGCCAGGAGGGCAAACCCCATCCCGGGCTGCATCAGACACAGCAGCACCAGCCCCACAAAAGATGGGATCATCCCGCTGGATTCAGCHGTGGGGCGGCCTCACCCCGAGTCCTGTGTGCTGGGCTGGGCCCCACAGTTTGGGAAGGATAGGAAGGTCCCTGAATGATCCAGAGGAGGGGAACAGAGCTGCTGGAAGGGCTGGAAGGAGCTCCTGTGAGGAGYGGCTGAGGGCTCTGGGTTTGTCCAGTTTGGAGAGGAGGAGGCTGAGGGGACACCTCAATGTTCTGTACAGATTCCTSAGGAGGGGACCTGSAGAGGGAAGTGCAGGTCTCTTCTCTCTGGTCTGGACATAAGGGGGCATTTCTCTTCTGAGAGAATGGTGAAACACTGTCACAGACTTCCTAGAGAGGTGGCTGATGCCCCGTGAAGGTCAGTGCATCCGGACACTGCCCTCCACAATGAGCTTTAATTCCCAGTCCGCCCTGAAGTGGTCAGGCAGAAAAATGAAATTTATCTCTGTAAGTCATTTCCAACTAAACTATTCTGTCCTAGGCTAGGCTAGTCTGTGCCAYTTAATCAGATGCATTTCTGTTCATTAAAATTAATTTTCAGGTATCTTTTAATTTTGCATTCTAATTTAACTTCTACGTTTCAAAAAGAATTTGTAAAACCACATGAAGACAGAAGGGATCTTGTTAATAAATAATTGGGATTTTTTTGCCAAATGTAAGGGAGATTCTCTGCAACCTTTGCCACACAGAWGGGAGAGAAATCACAAAATGTGT